CGATGAGGAGGCAAGAAGTGAGCTCAAACACACATTTACAGGCACACAGATGCACCGACTGTGCCTTCCTCTCGCAGCGCTGGACATTTATAAAACATGAGGCATCAAAAAGAGAAAAAAAAGGATTGCTGCACCAGGAGAAACACGTGAAAATGGCCGAGTGTTTACTTCAGGGGCTCCACTTTCAAACAAATATAGAGTTTCTCTTTGCTAAAATGAGATGCATTAAAAATTCTTCCACTATGATTATCCCAACAGTCCAAACTGCTACCCTCTGCATCACAACAACCCAGATCACATTTCAGATCGGCATGGCAGAAAGAGATGATGCAGGGAAAAACAGGCTCCAAACAACCAGAAAATGTTCTGACAAAATCCAAATGGATAATTTCTGAAGTTTATCTTGGAGAGGGGAGCCTATAGCAACTGACAACCTATTTTCCTTCAAAGCTGGCTGCAGTGAACTAAAGGATGAGACAGGTTTCCACCGTATTGCTTGCACCTGTCAGATTCATTAAAATCAGTGGACATGAGGGAGGAGCGGGGGCAGAGAGAGGGGTGGTGGTGGTGGTGGTGGTGGTGGTGGAGCTGCGTGCATGTATTGACAAACACACAAGGACAAGAGCACAGAAGACGTGGAATTTACATGGTAGGAAAAAAAAGATGAGATTATAATACAGCCATTGCTCTTGTGTGCTTAGGCCTTCATGCAGCTCTGGTCACAGTCTGTAAGCAGCAGCACACTGCAGGCAGGAGGCAACAGCCAGAGAGCCTCCGGGCTACAGCATCTTCTAAGATAATGGATGCTATTAAGCTTTTAAGTGTAAGGAATATATCACCTATTGGAGCATAAACTTCCTTTATGGAGAGAAGGCATGCCTGCGGAAAATGGGACTATAAAATGCATAATTTTGGTATGATAATAATAATGGTAATAGTGATAATAGTGATTCTTGTTTTCAATTGAGGTGGACAAACCAGTTTAGATTTAATCCACCTGTTTTAATTCAAACTGTTTACATAGCTATAAGGCAATACATCTGACATCATATTGCATCCAACAAAATAAATCTGCATTATATTGAATCCCACCAAGAGGCTGAGAAATAAAAAAATATATATATATAAAATGAAGGCAAAGCCGGCTCCATCCCGGGACCATTCAATCAGCGCAACAATCATCATATATCACACCTTTCCTCATTGGCAGTATAATCTGTGGTTGGTGATAAACCTCCCAGCTTTAAGTCTGTCAGTCACCTCCGGGCCGGGATAGCCGATAAGCGCATCAACCAAAAAACTGCAGAATTTAACCCGTCACGCACCAGTCAGATTTCAGGACATCCGCACATGCATGTAAAGGCAAAGAAAAACAGCGCTGTGCAGCTCACCTACCTTTGACTGGGCCGGTCGGAGCTGCGGTGCAGTCAGAGGAGATGTCGGGATGCTCTCAGAGGTGAAAATCTGTGCGGACGATGCCTGTTTTCTCCCTCGTCGTCTCCCTCCCTTCCAACCTCGCCCCCCTCAAGAGCAGCACTTCACGACTCGGGCTCAACATTTGGAAGGTGTTCAGAATATGTCGGGCTCCGCTCACTCCTCGGAGCCACTCGACTCGTGTCGGGAAACACCGTCACTCCCTGAAAGACACCTATGGTCATCTCAAAGTGAGGAGGGGGTTTGCTTAAGGAGATGTCAAACAGGCAAGTGATGCTGATTCAGCACACAGCTATGCGTCTGTAAACACATTAAGCCCAGACATTATGTCCAAAGTGGATGATAATGTGTTGTGAACTACATGGATGCCTTGATGCATTGCTCACCATCACATTATCTTTCTACAAAAGTTTCACACAATAAAACATTTCATTGATTACCTTCAGAAAAAAGTGCATTTCATCGGCTTTAAAGGGGAGCTACATTAATTTTCAGACTTCATCCATGTTATTCCTATGGTCTAAGACAGTCCAAAAATATTAGTAAACATGACAAATTGCCCCCTAAATCCAAAATCTAGAGTGCTAAAACTCAAATTTTTGAATTGGGACCAAAAATCTTTGCTAAGCCCCGCCCCTTTGTGATGGTCTGACAAGCTGTCGGAGTAAGCATGGAGCCCACTCTGTAATTAACTGCACTCCCTAAAGTAATATTATCATATTTTTGGAAAACTGAAACAGTGATTGCAGAGAGAAGCAGACAGAGGGGTCTACAGTCTGTGTTTGAAGGATATATCCAGGATGTCAAACTGACTCAGCAGCAACAACAGGTTAAAAAGACAAAGATAGTTAGAAGCTAAAGCCGAACTATAGGCTGCAGATCACAGTGTAAAAGTGAACCACCACATCACTGCTGATCGACACAGAAGACAATGAATATAAAGGGAAACTTTGCTGATATTGAACCAGCTGTGTGGCATCGCAGTGTGTGCAGATGAACCGTGTTTGGCTTGACCCAACTGTGCCACTGCCAGCACACGGACCTCTGCCACTGGACGGGCAGGGATCTCCGTGGGAAGTCAAACAACTTTCATGTGATGACACACAGGTGGTTGAATATCAGCAAAGTTCCCCTGCTTCCCTTCACTGGTTCCTGTACAGCAGGGTCAGTCTTTTGTTCACTGTTATAATCATTAAAAAGCAAAAGCAGCATGTGTACATTCAGTAGGCTATATCTTCAGTAGCTAGCTAGCTAACCCTACACTTTTCAGGGTTTGATTTTGGTTTTGGAACAGGGAAGAAACGTATATCTTTTTCCAACCTCTCCAGGTAACGAGTATCATTAATACACGAAGTGCCCCAGGCACAACATTTAACTCCAAATCCACAAAACCAGCCTGAAAATGAAGGAAATCTGAAATGATCGCATTAGATTCAATGGAGCACAGCTGTGTTGTTGTCAGGCCCTGGTCTGAGCCGGCCCGATGCTACGTTATGATTGGCCTGCGTCTGGGGGCGGGAATTAGCAAAGGGTCAATTGGGAAAGATGTTAGTGATGACACTGAGTGCACCTTTGACCGAATCATTGTGACATTGCTTAACAACAGTCATTTCCAGGTGGACAACTGACAATTGATTTGAATTGCAGACACAGTAGCCTATATAAAGCACTATAAAAAAAAATCCACCAAAAAAATCAATATCAGTGTAAGTGCACGCTATATTAAGAATATTTTCACTGCCTTACCCTCCACACTAACTGATCGAGGCAGGTGTAGATAGCACCTTGTCAATCATGTCTGGTGGCTTTGAGATAACAGCTACAGTAAAAAAAAAAAAGGCTGTCTGACAGCAAGGTAAATCAGCGAAAAGATTTTAAATATAGCATACACTTTAAGTAATATTGATTCTTTTTTTTAGGTGGCTAAAAAACTAACCAATTGAGGCAGTGTCTGTTCAGTGCTGTTTGATTTTATATACGTGATACACGGGTTTTCTACCCAGAAGTTATTGGTAACATTTTGATTTGGTCTATATGGGTACGTTTTCTGTTTCAAACTGTGAACACAGCAATAGAATAAAGCTCATTTGGGTAAAATAAATAAATAAATAAATAAATAAAAACATTCTGTGGGTCCACAAAATCGGCATCACATTCTTCGTCTATGGAGCTGCTCCAGACTTTATACCCTACAACATCACAAGTTTTTGAGTTACTTCTCTGGTGTCTGGCTTTGAGAGAGTAGCTCATGTTCACAATTATTGATTGAACTTTCCAGGGCCATGGAAATAACATACTGGAATTCTTAATTAGGTGGTGTTCCCCTTTAACCAAGAACATACCACAATAATCAAATGTGCACATTTCAATATCATCATCAATAAAGAGAAGGTACAGTTCAGTACAATCAAAGCCCTCACTAAGAGGGTTTTAAGAAATAAACTAGGGCCTTAGTGATCCTTAAACTAAGGGGCCTCAAAAGAGTAAATCTGGCATACATTAAATGAGATAAAGAGAGATCCTCTTCAGGTGCGAGTTTTCATTGATTCCCAAGTCTCAGGACGCAGACTGTGACAAAATCAGTAACAACTGATTTTTAGCCTGAAGGTCCGACATTTTTAGCCAAATCTTATAATTCTACCTAAATTGTTTCACATCGAAGCCTTAAAAATACAGATACTAGCCTAGGCAGAGATATTGGATGAAGGGAGATACCCAACTGTAGGCTTACCCAATGTTAAGAAAACGGTTACTCTTCCTGTCTCCTAAGTGGGCCTGGTTAGCTCTCCCTCCAATCAGAGCCTGTTCTCCTTCAATCCCCCCACCACCGTGTTGAACAGATGCTCTGTGGATGTCTGTGTATGCGGATCGAGAAGCAGGTGGAATGAAAATACATTCTTCCTATTATTGCAGCCTATTGTTGCACAAAGCTTGGGCATTTTTTATTTATTACTAGCGGTAAATAACTGTTTGTAAGCTAACTGTGATTTTACCGCCTGTTTATCAAGATCACAAGATCTCGCGAGAACTTATTTTCTGAGACGGACAGGGCTCAAACAAAGTTAACTTTCTCTTGATCTCTGCGGATGAAAAATGCAGCTTTAATGTCAGAATATTGGGAAGATGTGTGGCTTGTGGAAAATGAACCCAATATTTACTTTAGTGACTACAGGGCGAAAGAATTGACCATAAATTGTGATCACGTTCATTTTCCTCATTGACGACAATACATTCAGAGCTGCCGCAAGTCTCCTACGGGGGCGTGGCGCTGACGTCACTGAATCAGGAAGTGAGCTGAGTTGGGTATCTCACTTCATCCAATATCTCTGGCCTAGGTGTAGATTTAAGGGGGAATGCAGAGGACACGCCCCCCTCAATATTTAGAATACATGCACTTGCCACCCCCCCCAATTAAAAACATGAAAGAAGCAGAGGACGCATAAAAATTCACCAGAATACAGGAAATTTAGTGAAGGGAGTACCCTGCCTCTCACACCACTTCATATGCATCTCCCCCAGTGTTTAAACAAAGACTATATAAGTTGCAAAAGTAAATACACATATAGTTAGACGTAATAGAAAAGATTTAATGTTTTCATCAGTTATACGGACAGATTTCATGATTTCATACAAATACAAAGTTGGTGTTGAGATATTAGCTATGACAGTTCTAAAATCAAACTACGTTACAAGCTAATGAGTTCATCTTTAAAACACCAAACAATACAGTAAGTTTAAAGGTCTACAGCGGGTCAGGGAAGGCGAGTTCTGTATACTGGTCTTTTTGAACATAACATGTATACACAAACACAGTAAATTGGTATTGATGTAGAAGCAGCATCAGCATTCAGGTGCCTACATATTGTGTCTCATCCCTGGACGTAATAGGATTGGACGAAGCCTTAATGGAGTAGGTGGTGGTGGTGGTGGTGGGCGTTAATGGAGACAAGACATGCTGGTAGGTTCATGATAACCTCGGCACTTCCTATCAGGAAATTAAACGAGCTTTTTTTCATCCACTGGCCACTGTAGCTGGTGTATTTCAAAACAGAACCCCCATCAGTTCCACTATTTCTATTTCACCACCCAAACATGATTACACGACTCGCACTTCTCGGCTGGGTACCTGCCAAACTGGATGATTGAGCAGAAGCACTTAGGACGCACAGAGAGCAACAGTAATTTAGCAGTGTTAATTCCTGCTCCGCTTGTTATTGTTGCGTAAAGAGAAAGGTGAAGCACAGGGGAGGATGAGAGAGGGGAAGTGACAAGGACGGTTGAAGGGTAATTATAGCAGCAACACTGGTTTTAGCTTTTGCAACTTTAAAAACTACATTTTTTTCACATGTAAAAGGCAAAAGGTAAGATCGTAAGAAAAGACCATAATGAGAGTAGATTTCTAAACCGTAAAAATTTGAGACACCTTACTCCTTAGTAAGTTTCCTAAATTTTGTTTCTTCCATCGCAAATGTTTTTCAACATTTTAAAGCTGCACCCATGCTACATCCACACAATGTGATAAAAACCGTGCAAGTGAACAATCAAGTTTTGCTGCACATGGCAAATACATTCCTCTAGTCTTTGAGTCTGTTTACACCTGATATTAACGTGTGTTTCAGTGATACAAACACAAGTGGACAGCCAAGACACATCAGCATTCACAACTGTGTCACCAAATATGCATCTCCACCTGCCCACTTGTGTTCAGATCTCGTTGTCGCTTAAGTCATTAATGCTGGAGGTCGAAGGGCATTACGTCAGCACTCTTGCTGGCTGCTTGTTAGCATGCTCGTGTTAGCGGTTGTGTTGGTACAGCTGGAGATATCACTGTCAGGAGATTTCAACATGTCTCCTTCCACAGAACAAACGATGGACACACAACACTTTGTCCAACTTTTTGTAAAATGGTCAGGTTATAGAGCGTTAACATACTGTTACCAAAACAACCACCTGAATGTAATCAAGACACATTAGCCTTTTCACTACAGCAGGTATGTGGTCAAATGCGTCCCAGACTGCCTCAGCAAGTGGCTGCAGTGGTCCGGTCACAATCCCTCTTGGTGGTTGTTTACACTTGTATTTAGTGCTATCCACTTGTGACTGGATCACCAAAGATGCATGTCAATACCAGGAATAAACAGGGCCTTTAATACAGACGAACAGCTGACTCACTAGTGTTTCTACTGGTCTCTGATTTAAAAGGGAATCTGTGAGTGATGATAAAACCCCACCGTGGCAGATTTACTACACACACTGTAGATGGAGGGTTTTTACAGTGTACCCTGGTGATGTTAAGTCTTCTTCCTGCTCCGTCCCTTGCCTCCTGCGGGCTGTTGAGCATTTGTAGGAGCAGAAAGTGTGTGGGTCTGAAGGTCAACTTTCTGCTGAAGGATCCCTGTGAGAATGAAATCAGCTGTGACGACTGGGAGAGATGCAGAGAGAGCCGGGCCACACAGCGACCAGTCCTCCTCGCAGGAAATCACTACAGTCTGAGGCTGAGAGGGAGGAGGGGGGTGACAGAAAATCAATAATAACAGATGTACTGAATGACTATAACAAAATAATGTTCATTTGTTGTATTCAAGACCTGAGTGAGAAACACTGGCTGGTACCTTGTGAGAAGAGGGCATCTTAGGTAGAAAGGTGGCTCCACTGCAGGAGATTATGTCTTTCATTTGAACTGGCTCTGGTTTCACTGACTTTGTTACGTGGATCTCATACCCCTAAGAAAAAAGAGAAGAGACGACAAGAGATGCAGTGCACGACATATGTCTCTGCAAGAATGCCTAAAGAAATCAATATAAAGCTCTTAGGGACGGAATTTGGTATTACACGTGTATACATGCCCCATATTTAGCCACAATCAGCACAGTATGCATCAAACTATCCCTTCAGCTTTGATACTGATCCAAACAGTGTAGAGTAGGAAGAGAGCGTGTAACAGAAATGGAAACATCACTGCTAGCTTCCCTACCTGAAGTGCCCATAAAACAAACAGTATAACAATAAATGTCAAATTACTTTCCATGAGCCAAAGTGTAATGGTAAACAACCGAAACTGTACTCATGAAAAAATCTGAGCACATTCTACTACAAAGAGGCTGAGCTGAAAGCAATGCTTCACAATAAATAAAAGTCAAGGATTTGAGATCTTTTATAGGCTGAGGATGATTCCAACACAAACATGTCGGTATTCCCACCCTGACTCCCTATTCCTATCTGTCAATTTTATCCAGGACAGGAATATTTAAAAAGGATGGGCGTGGTTTTGCAGGACGCAGCACTGCATGCTTTCTCCATCTCCAACCTAATATCCCTGTGCAGCTTGTGTCCAAAATGGTCTGACTGATACACACTGCATGAAAGATTATAAGGGTCAAACAGCAAAAGTCCTTGCAGTCTACTTACAAACAGGCTACACTAACCCAAGCCAATAGGATAGTTAATGACCCATCCCATGTGAGGTGGCTGTGGCTCAGGATGTAGAGCCTGTCGCCCATTAGTAGGTGGTTCAATCTCTGGCTCCTCCAGTCTGCATGTTGATGTATCCTTAGGCATGATACTGAACCCCAAATTACTCCTGATGGTGTACGAGTGCGGATGAATGTTTGACTGAATAGCAGGTGGCACCTTGTATGATAGCCCCAGCCACCAGTGTATAAATGCATGTGTGAATGCATTTATGTGAGTGCGAAAGATGCTATACAAGTGCAAGTCTATTTACAATTTACCATATTCTAAACAATGACTAGCAGTTACTGTGCAAGAGCAAAATGCAAGAAGCAAAAACTTAAATGTGTCTTTGTAAATTGCATCCACCTCTCACTCAGATCAAAAATGTAAGTACCGGACTAAATGGTAGGACTGAGGTAAGAGTACCTGTAAGAGAGGCTGACGGCCAGCAGTCCCCAGAGACTCCTGCAGGCAGAAATTAAACTTCTTCTCCTGCTCTGGATCCTTCACAAGAAAAGCTTTAGGAGGCAGGAAGCTCCCCGCCTTGCCACTCTGAAACACAAGGAGAGGGAAGAAAGACAATCAGAGTGTCCACTTGAGTACGTCTGAGTGTAGTATTTGTGTAAATACTTCCAAATAGATTTTTCAAAAAGATAAAACTATTCTGAGGCCAGTTTTAACTGCTAAAACAGTAACTAACCTTGTCCAGCCATTGTGTGGTGACAATGGGGACTCCTTTAGCCACCGCACACAGGAACTTGACAGTCCTGCGCACCTTATCAGTCACCAGACAGTTCATGTCGGCCACACCTTTAGCTATGCTGCCTCCCAAACGAGCCAAGACTCTCTCCCCGTCTTCATCCACAACTCCTGTGAACAGCACCTGAGAGAATGATAGACACAGTGCGTTATTCATAGGTTTGAAGTAATGTTAACTCACATGAGGCCTACTGAGCAGATTTCTAGTACACTGTCATCCTATCAAGTAAAAAATGTAGAAGTAGGGGCACTGAAAAATATCTGATTCTAATCCCTGTAAAATTAGCAAAGCATGGCCTTGTCATGCACTGCTAAATTTTTGTATAATTTTCTGTGGTTCAGTCATATTCCAATTTTTCTCCTGATGGCTAACAGAACAGTCTGCTTATAGGAGAACCAAGCCGATATTTGGTGATGCCTACATTCAAAAGCAACAGTGATCACCTTCATAAACAAACCAAAAATAACTGAAATTCTGCAAAGTTTCACTGAATCGCCCTAATTGTCATTGATATGAATTAGGATTGGGTACCTAAAGTTCCTATACAAGCAGTACTTAGCAGACCAAATCATGCCACAAATTTGGGTGCCTCATTTTGTTGCCAGATGGTGTGTGTAGGGAGTATGCGGCCATGTGAGAGAGAGCGTGTGTGATGGTGACACGTGACAGTAACACTGCAGTGACTGGAGCTTAGAATATGAAGTTAAACATAGCAGTGCAGTTTAGGCTATTTATCAGTGAATGAAGTGCTACAACTCCTCAAGGCCAAAGCCAAGCTCTCCTGTTTTTCTTGCTACCTGCTAATTAAAGGGAAGGAGGTTAGCCCTGAAGTTGGCTTCACAGTGGAAAGTGATCAGGCTCACATAAGGGGGACTGTAAGGTGGACCACCTATTCTCATTTTAAGTGACAATCTCAGCTGCTCCTAAACAGATAATGCAGAAATGTCTGGCTGCTGAGCCTCTCCTGAGTTAAGGAGACAATTATTGAGCCCAACAGAAAATTTATTTTAGCTTTAATTTATGATGTGAATGTGTTATGTGAATTTGTAAATAGTGTTTTGTGTTGATTCAGATTTATGAATATTTCTGATCTTTCTTTCACATCATTGACTGTCATTTTATGCATTATCAGGGTGTCTACAGGTATCAGACAGTTAAGTCTATTGCTTTTTAAGACCCATTCAAGACACCAAATTTAGGACAGCGTTTTGGACAAATCCAGTTTTACTTATTTAAGCACTGAAGGTGAGTAGTATAAATGTGGTCTTGCGCAGAGGTAGGTGTTATGTAGGGATATAGTTATTAGAGTGAGTTCAGTCAATCTACATTTTGCCAACAGGGAAGTGCATGTATGAAGTAAAATGACAGTATTATAGTTTTATAAAGGTTTGCAACTTCAGAAATGGGGATTTTTACATAGAAAGGCTTCACTCATTTTCACAGAAAGAAATAAAAAAAATGGATAAATGAAATTAGATAAAAAGTTTGTAGTAGTTAAGACAAAGTTATTGTTGTAACATTGAATTTAAGACTTTTTAAGACTTTTTAAGGACCCGAAGACACCCTGATTATTTATGAAAGTATCAGTTCAGGCACTGATAGCATTTTAAAGTACTGTATTGGCACCGGTATTGGAAAAAACCCAAACGATACACAACCCTAGTGTGAATGCACCATAAAGAAATGTGATTATCATTACAGTCAACTTTCTCTCATGTGCATCATTTTGACAATCTCAAAAATACAACCACATGTGTAGAAAGACGTATAGAACCTTGTAAGCCTGGCTGGCAACTCGTAATCGACCACCTGCTGCCGGGGAAGCAGAGGAGGAACGAGGGGTCTTTGCCACAGGTGAGGTGTTCGCAGGAGCCTGTCGCTTCCGGGATGCACTGCTGGTCGGAGTCTTGGGCTGTTCAATTAAAGAGAGGGGGGAGACAGGAACAAAGCATGAAACACACAAAGAGAATGATGAGAATGGGAGTAGTAAAGAAAGCGAGGAAGATAAAACAAGAGTAGGAAGTGGCTCTGTGACTACTAAACCACTTAATTCATTAGTGTATTAATGGTGATGCAGAGCAGGTCAGACTACTCTTGTTGCTATGAGAGTTGGAGAGACAAAGACAGTCCCTGATGTAGATTGCAGTACATTATGATGGTTGGAAAGGCTGACTCATAGAGACAAATGCACCGGGGCCTTTGGCCAAGGTAAAAGCCTTTCCTCTGAAGGACAGAGGTTCCTGGACACTACTTATATATTACTCAGCTTTCCGCTGGGTCTGATTTATCTTTCAGCCCTAATGCAGTTTGGTCTCAATTAAAACAACAATGTCTGAGACCTTAAAATGTCCAGTGCATATGTTTAATTGTCAAGTAATTAAGTCACCTCTGAGGCCTCCACATGTGGATCCTGGTCAACAGATGCTCCACTTTCTTCCTGCTCCTCTTTCTTCTTTTTCTGGACAGCTGACGTCCGACCTCTGCCTTTTTTCTCAACAGTCTCCTCCTCCATTTTCTCGCTGTCTTCTTTCACCTTCACTTCAGTGGGGGAATCTTGTGTGTTCGTCTTAGCCTGAGCCGTGGACGCTCTACCTTTTCTCTTAGCCTGGACTGGAATGTCATCTTTTGTTTCTTCTTTTGCTGCCTCTGTTGTTTCGGCTTTCTCCTTCCCCTTGGAAATGTTGGAGCTACTGCTAGGCTCTTCCTCCAACTCTCTTTTTCTTCCTTTTCTTTTCTCTTTAGCTTCATCTCTATCACTGGCAGCAGGAGCAACTGGTGCCTCCACAGTCTCACTCTTTACAACTTCTCGGTCTCTGCCCCTGTCACTCTTCTTTGGGAGAGTTGACTCTTCACTTGCACACTCCTGATCCTGAGTAGGGTCTTTCTTATCTGCAGCAGGTTCTGCATCATTTGCATTGGCTCGCCGTCGCCCTCTTGTGGTACTAGGCTGCTGAGAGTCTGCCTTCTCTTCGTCATCATCATGGGGAACCTCATTAGAGGGTTCCTCTGCTTTCCTGCTCTTCCTGCCTCTGGCTGTAGGTTTGGAGGCCAAATTCTGGTCACTGTGACTAGGAGGAATGGAGACAGGCTCTGGCTCAGTTTTCCTCCCTCTTCCTCGCTGCCTGCCTCCTCTTCCTCCTCTCTGAGAGCTCGTGCTGCAGCTGGATATCTCAGAGTTGAGGGAGTTGATGGAGCTGGACCTTGAAAGGACTACCTGTGGAGGAATATCTTTACTGTCCTGTTCTGTTGACTCTGCAGCCACTGTCCTCCTTCTATTGCTGCTTCTAGCGATGGCCGTCTGGGGTGGCTCACTGGTCCTCTTTCCTCCTCTGCCTCTGCCTCTGCCTCGCCCCCTGTTCCCCTGGGTGCTCACACTTGAAGTAGATCTCTCTGAGCTGACAGAGTTGGAAGAGTTGGAGCGAGATCTGGTCCTCCTTGCTGGGCCATCATCATTGGCTGATATTGTTGAGTCTTGTTCTGGTTCTGTTGTACTCGGGGTAGCAATTGTTCTTTGTTCTCTTCTAGTTGCTCTTCCACTTCTCGCGGGTGTTTTGGCCTTTTTTTCTTCTTCTTTGTTCTTTTGTTGCTCTTTTATTTGTTTTTCTTTGGCCTCTTTTTCTTGTTTTGCTGTCTCCAATCTTTCTTTTTCCTCCTGTTCCTTTCTTTCCTTTTCAAATCTCTCCTTCTGTTCTCTCTCCAATCTTTCCTTCTCTTCTCTTTCTGCCTTTTCATGCTCTAATCTCTCGTTTTCCTCCTTCTCCTTTCTCTCCTTTTCTATTCTCTCCTTCTCTTCCCTCTCCAATCTTTCCTTCTCTTCTCTTTCTGCCTTTTCATGCTCTAATCTCTCTTTTTCTTCCTTCTCCTTTCTTTCCCTCTCCAATTGTTCTTCTTTTTCCTTTTGCACCCTCTCAGCTCTTTTCTTTTCTTCTCCCTCCTTTCTTTCCCTCTCTAATCTTGCTTTTTCTGCTCTCTCCCACTCAAGTCTTGACCTTTCAGCATTTTCAGCCTGCAATCTTTCTTGGTCTTCCTTCTCTTTTCTTTCCCTTTCTAATTTGTCTCGTTCCCTCCCTTCATCTTGTTCCTTTATTAGGTCGTTATTTGCAGCACTCTTGTTTCTTGCTGTTTCAGGCCGCTCTTCCTCTTCCTTGTTAACTTTCTGTTGCCTCATGGATATTTTCCCTTTGGCTCGTTTAGGCGGCTCTACCTCCTCCTCCTCCTCCTCCTCACTCCCCTCCTCATCAGGCCTTGACTTTCCCCTCCTTCCTCTGGTAGTTGGCAGAGCTTTATTCTTCCCTCTTGTCTGTCTCTTAGGAGGTTCAGAACACTCCGCCTGCTCCTCCTCTTCTCTTAATGTTGCCCTTGTCCCTCTTTTACCATTGACAGTGGTGCCACTGGTTCCAGCTTCAGATTGACTCCCTTTTCGTCTCTGAGGCTGCCGGCCAGTTTTTGTTTCCAAGGGCTGAGTTTCAACAGTGGAGGCCTCAGGATTTGTGAGCGGCTGTGTCTCCTCTTCTTGAATTTGCAGTACCTTTGCTTTTCTTTTTCGTGGACCTGGAATCGAGTCCTCATCATCACTTTCTCTGTCTTCACCTATGACCGCGGGCTGTGTTTCAGCAGCAGTGACTTCAGAACTAGTGAGGGGCTGTGTCTCTTTAAGTTGCAATGGTTTTGCTCTCCTTCTTCGTGGACCTGGAATCAGGTCTTCTTCATCACCTTCTCCATCTTCAGCCATTTCCATTGGCTGAGTTGCAACAACAGAGAGCTCAGAGTTTGTCAGTGTTTGTGTCTGCTCATCTTCTATCCGCAGTTGCTTTGCTTTTCTTTTTCGGGGACCTGGAAGCGAGTCCTCATCATCACTTTCCTCATTTCCACTTGTAGCCATGGGCTGAGTTTGGGCTACACCATCGTGCATGGGCTGAGTTTCAACAAGTGATAACTCAGAGTTTGGGAGCATTTGAGACTGCTCTTCTTCAAGCTGCAGGGGCTTTGCTTTTCTTCTTCGTGGACCTGGAATCGAGTCCTCGTCATCACTTTCCTCATCGTCACTTACAGGCATGGGCTGAGTTGCAGCTACAGGTAGGTGGGTCTTTTGAGGTTGAGCTGCTTTCTCATGTTCATCCCTCTCTTCTTTTTCATTCTGTCGTCTGGGCTCAACTTGTAATACAGAAGAAATTGGATTTTCTTCTTCCAAATCCTCCTCCTCCTCCTCAAAGGCAGACATTGGTTGGGTTTGAGCCATGGCAAGAGTAGATGAGGTGGGAAACTGCTGAGTCTCAACAGTGGCAGTGCTATTTCTCTCATCTTCATCGGTTTCATCCTCTGAATCACTGCGGGGCTCTGAAATATATGGCTGTGTTGCTTCTAAGGCCAAATTTGCAGACATAACTGAACTTCTGGCAGGTTCTTCATCATCTCCATAAGTCTGTGTAGCCTCATTCTCTAAGGAGGTCCTGTCTGCGTTTGAGATGGCTGCATATGCTTGGGTTTCTTCCATATTCACACCCCCCTCCGCAGGGACAAACGCTTGGGTGCTCTCTGTGGCTAAAGTTTGGGCCCGACCCTGCAGGTGGCTGCTGTCTGAAAGCCCCAGCTGGAAAGACAGTCCTCTGCTGGACTGTTCGCCTCTTTCATCACCAGATGACTCAAGGCAAAATTCTTGGGTGGGGTTCATGGTGTGGTCCTCTGGGGGGTTGCCCTGGCGGTCTCTGGTCTGAAGAATGAAGGACTGCGTCTCAGCCACAACAAAGTCCTCACTCTCCTGGCTGTCTGAACAAGAAGACAATGCTGTAGGTCTGAGAGCAGGGGGTACTGCACATAGGAGACAGAGGAGACAAAATAAGGAAATTGAGCAATGTTAAAATAAATATTTGCGCTCTGATACACTCACTTCCTTAGACAGACACAAACCTGTGTATAATTTAACTATATTAAAACATTTTACTTACATTTAAATGGTACAGAAGAAGGACTCATGAAAGCCTGAGTCTGCATATCTTCCACGTCTCTCTCTGAAATAAATCAAAGTGAGAAAACAAAAATGAAACCATGTTAAAAATGTGTTAAAACTGATGATTTATACCGTGGATCAAGGAGGTCATAATGTGGCTTACATCTGAGAAACAGAGGTCCACTTTATATGGATCACTAAAAACAAAATAAAATCTGATAAACTTAAATGGATTATTTGGAAAATCTAATCCTCTATTGCTAAAGTAATTAATAAACAGACATTCTGACCTCTTTATTTTGAGTGGAAACATGTATATTTTTCTTGTATCATATTGTTATTATTTTTGCTCATTGATAGGGTTTAAGTTATATTTATTTTTGACTTGATCCTTGAATCTGTGCAGTATAATTTCACACCTGAGAACATGCAACATAAAAAGGCCACTGCAACGTGACAGGCTTGTCCAGTAATTAAATTAAGTATGAACAAGCTTTATGTTACACACCTATAAGTGTGTCATGGGGAGTCTATAAGTGTGTAGCTGTAATTGTATTCTTCTTTAATGTCATTTTTGTGTGTAGTGTTGATACTGTTTTGTGGAATTGTGATAAATTAGTAAATTAAGTTTAAAAAAAAAAAAACTTAACGCCAAAAGAACTATCCTCCACTAAACAGCAATAACCTCAAGCAAAAATATAAATACATGAATATTTTATTTATTCTCAAGCTGCAGCAATTGGTCACTTAATTGAATGGTCAATCAAAAGAAAATTAATTGGCAACCATTTCAATTAGTTAATAATTACTTCAGTCATTTCAAGTGCACCTGCAAAACATTCCCCTGTGGTTTCAGCTTCTTCAGCATAAGAATTTGATGATTTTCTCTATAAACTGAATATCTCTATAACAAAACAAGCATCATACTGGACTGTGTGGAATTATACTGGGTATTTTTCATTGTTTTCTGTCATTTTATAAAGCAAACAATAAATCAAGAAAATGATCAGCAGATGAAACAGTTATGAAAATCATCTTTAGTTGCAGCATTGAGTTGTCATTTGAAGATTGACTGACTGATTACCTGACGCCTGTACAGGAGTAGAGCAGTTCTGCAGGAGGGGAGCCAGCAACCCTGGAGTATTTTCTCTGCACAGGTTAGGAATCTGGCCCTCACCCGTCTCTCCAAAATCCACCTCCTTATCTTCCACATCTGTGCCGCTGTCAGCTTTAGGTTTGGATGGATTGACCCCATCTCCAGCAGGGGGCACGCTAGATTCATCAACATCCGTGTCTGCATCAGAACCGGAGTGAAGACCATCTGACAAGGTTGAGACAGCAAGAGGTATGACCAAAGGAGAGTTGTCTTCCACATCTGTGTCGCTGTCAGACAGAATATCCAAACCTGCTCCTGCACCTGCAGTTTGGCGTGATTCTGTGACAGGAGACGCCACTGAAGGTTCACTGCTGGCAGGGGAGGGAATAGCTTCATCATCTGTGTCACTGTCTAGATGCAGACCGCTAGACGCAGCAGGGACGGAAACAGGCTCAACTGGCTTGATATCTAATCTAGTGGGAGTTTCATCTATTTTAGGGCATGTATTGTTTGTTCCATGTTCCTTTTCTTCTTCCTCATCAACATCTGTGTCACTATCCAGGTGGAAATCTTTCAGCTGAGTTGAAGGAGCAGAGTCAGCTTTGTGTGGACTCTGAAGTGATGTGGGTTTTGCTTCTGTAGTCGCATCTGACACAGCAGCAGCATCATCATCATCTGCATCAGTGTCACTGTCCATAGTGATGCCCTCTGGCTGAATAACAGAAATAACATGAGGGGGTTTGGTGTGGTCAGCAGAGGAAGATTTGGGTACTTCGTCTAAGGCATCATCATCCTCATCGACATCTGTATCACTGTCCATGTGAAACTGGGCTGTGTTTGGTGGTTGATCAGCTTGTTGGTTTGTATTCAAGGCCACAGGACCTGCAGATGCCACCCTTTCCTCCTCTCCCTCCACATCAGTGTCACTGTCCATGTTAAATGCAGGGATTGCATCTGCTAGTGTGGATACAAGCAATTTATCTTCTCCTGTAAGACTGACATTACTTTCCTGCTTTGCTGACACATGTTGTCCACTTCCCCCAGACTTTATCCCTCCCAGTGCTGCTCTTTCTTCCTCCATCCCTTCCTCCATCCCTTCCTCCACTTCACTGTCGTCCACAATCCCAAATGCCTCTTTTTTCTTCAGCTGCTGTCGCCCCACATCTTCGTCCGTCTCCTCCTTGCTGAAGCTGACATGTTTGTGAGGTCTATTTTTAGTGGAGGAGGACGGTGTTGTGGGACTTTCATCCTCACTGTAAAACGGTGGACAAGCATTATAATTCAGACGTGAAAAGAATAAACAGAAAAAGCACACACTTACAGGGACTGGTTATATCTGTGTTATAAATATACCTATCTCAAAAAGCCCAAAATAAGATGATTCTAATATACCTTTCAGGTACAATTGTGTTTCTAGGACTCAGGAATGTTGAGCAGTCGGGACCTGATTTATGGGAGTCGGAATCAGACACTGTAAAAGAAAAATGTTAAAACATCAGATAGAAATGAACAGGACTTAATTTCTACATGTTTTTTTATAATTTACATACCAAGAGCCTTGCGCAGTCTGTCTCCTCTTTCTCCATCTGAGTCTGAGTCAGATTCTGGGACCAGGCTCCCATGTGGCTGGGTTGGAGTTTGCTCAAAGGACAGGCAACTGGACCTCACAGGAGTCTTCTTTGTGTCCCCCTGATCAGGTAGTGACACCCTAGCCTTTGTACCTCCGTTGACAGATTTCTTGCCGCCTGTGCTTGTGTCACCTACCTTCTCTCCAGAGGCATCTGGCAACCTTGCATTTACCCCTGAATTTTTGCTCACAGGAGTCCTCATGTCCCCTTGAGCAGAAACTGCATCTACAACACAGCTGACATACTGACACGGGATGTCTGCCACCACCAAACTGTCATGCTCACTGAGGGCATAGCGGACATTAGGAGTCAGCTTTAAGCGGCCCTTGCGGGTCCCATTCATGCTCCCTAGGTCCCAGACCAAAGCCTCTATGTCCACTTCACTATGACTGCCTTTTCTCTTGTAGACAGAGATGCAGATGGTGGCGTGCTGCTTGGATATTGAGGATGCTGGCAGGGGCAGGGTGCAGGTGTTGGGGTCACGGCCAAGCACATTATCTCCCAAAAAGAGTGGCAACTCTGGGTGACAGAGAGAATCCATCAAAACAAATACATATTAATGCAAGTTAGGCAGACTGTGGATGAATCAACAAACCATAGATGTAGTAACAGCAGTAGTAAGCCACTCACCTGTCTCAGGGATGTGTTGATTTTTTAAGATGCACAGTTTAGCCAATGGTCGCCCTCTCTCGTTTTCATTCTCCTCTTCATTTTCGTCCTCATCTGACTCCAAGATGGAGTCACAGATCATCTGAGTAGCATCCATTCCTCACACAAGGTAATCCCAGACGACTGCTGCACTAACACAGACAAAAAGCTATTACGGCTCGTCTAATTCCACCAACGTTAGCTTTGACTAAGTTAGCCGTTAGAACATAGCCAGAGACACGTTAACTGCCGTTGTAGTTATAAGCAACGTTAGGCAACACCATGCGGCTAACGTTAGCCTAAATAACTAATTAAATCTTTTTAGCGTTACTTTCAGATGCTATCCTACGGTTAATAGCGTAAAGCAACGCTAATACAACTTTTATTGAACGTGTCTGAACATGTCTGTCACAACAACATCACTTAACAGCAATTCCACTTCCGGTCACTACAAAAACAAACTACGAAAAAAAACGTTAACCGTCAGCTTGGCTAATTCTAACAACCAACTGTACCATTTTCTCCGTTATTGTCAATTAATAGCAAATAATATTCTCAATTTAAGCATTAGTTGCTTCTAATTTCAAGTAAATAACTCCCAATTATCTCATCATGGCAATTACTATGAAAACTATGAAGGACGTTTACGTGATTACACGAGTGGCTTGACTGTACTAAACCTGAAATTGTTCAAATGAGCTAATTTAAATTCGCAGTGTAGGTGCATTACGCTTCTATCTTTACATAACGTTAAGGAAAAGGCTAAGTTATCATACGTACCTTCACACGCTTTGCTCAATGCATATAACAGAAAATAAACATGCACATCCTGGAATTTTTCGACAGCGCCCACAAGAAGCGTTTCTCTCACACGCGATTGGCCAATATATCAATCAATCACGCTAGACTCTGCTGCCATTGGTTAGTAAATCCTCAGTCTTTCTTTAAACGTCTCTGACTGGACCAATTTTCCCCGAAGCGCCATTCTTCATACCAGTGTCGTGTCAGTGGCAGTCAGTGGCGCTGGTGTGGCTCTGGTGCACAAAGAGACCAGTCAGGTGTGGTAGAGTAGAGGAATGAGGCTGAAATATAACACATTTACAACACTCGAGGCATTTGTCTGGACTTTTACAACGGTCTGCATAAGCTGCACATCTATATCTTACAACAACAATAAAGGCTTTATGTTACATCATCAAGTAGCTTACACCTTGTTATTTATCAGTTATGCTGGGACATTACTATAGGATATTCAAAACTGCGCAACGGACCAGACCAGTTTAGACTAATGTTTAGAGTATTGTAACAATAAAGGCTTTATGTTACATCATCAAGTAGCATATTGTTTTTATCAGTTAGGCCCTGCATTAGTTTGCTGTCAGGTGCACTTCATGAAGTGATCCAAAAAGGTTCGATTTTACAGGTCCCATACTGCATCATTTTCTATTTTCATATCTGTCACATAAGGCAGGACAACTGCCTAGCTTCCCAGAATTCTAGGGACACTGAACAAATGTTTTTTTTCCCAATTTATACAGAAATTTGTATGTGAATAAGCAAAAGCACAACATAACCTGACATAAAGGTGTTGATATTATCGTTTATATATTTATTTTTATAATCATAAACCTTGAGGATCTGTCTCAATGAGAGCCCCTGTGTCAAAAGGCAGTTCAAGACTATTATTATTACAGTTTTGTGTGTATACATTTCCACACAGCAACCCTGGGGCCATGGATGGATTATGAGAACGAGGACAATTGGGCCCCACTACCTCTCCCACAGGACACACAGACTTTGAGGTGGTTTGCATCTCTTTAGTGGTTATGCATCTTTTTTTTTGTGGTGTTGTGTCTCTTGGTGGTCATTCTGTGACTCTTTGTAGTTATTTTATGTCTTTGTAGCTATTTGGGTCTCTTTGTTGCCATGTGGGTTTCTTTTAAGTAATTTTTTGGCTGTTTTTGCTTCATAGTAATTTTGTGTCTTCATGTGGCTGTTTTGTCTCTTTGGAGTTCCTGTGCATCTCTTTGTGGTCTTTTTGAGTCTATTTGTGGTTATTTTAAGTCTTGCTGGTTGGTATGGGTTAATTTGAGAGACATTTTGTAAGAGAAGGCCAGGGGGCCTCTGATACTCTGGGCCCCTGGGCCTCTGCCTGGTAGGCCCGTTCAGTAATTCATCCATGCTTAGGGGCCTGTGTGGGAGGAATGTAGGTCAGCTCATTTCTGCCCTGGGGCCTCGCTGCAGGTTGAGCAGTCATGTCTGGGGCACCACCAACAGTTTGAAGTGTTATGTTTTTATGATGTAATGATAAAGTTGCACAACTACTTACTTTAATGTTTGGTGCACCTGCATCTTAGACTCCACACTCTCCACAGGAATTATAATGCTAAACCTGACAACTACAAATACGTAGCATTGTTTCTTACTTGTACAAAATTAAGTAGATGGAACATTGTTGGTTGGTCTTAATATGTGGAACTGTGATTATGAGGTTGTCGCCTATAATAGGACCATCTAAGCGCTGCTGGTGTGCAATGAACATATGTTCCAAGGTTTGACTCATAGTTGTGGGAATGTGGCTTGACACAGAGAAAAACTTGGTCTGACTATCATGTTGCAAATTGGTCATGCACCCTTAACCATCATGCTTGTGGAGTAGAAACCTCTAAATATGACTTCATCCAATAATATCTGGAAACCATATTTGACCTACTGTATGTCTGCACTGAGAATTCCTTTTGGTTTCACTGTCTTCTAGTTTAATGCTCATGTAACTGACATTAAACCTACTTATCTATGCATAACAAACTGAACAACGCAGCTATTTTTCATAGCTGCAGGAAACAGCACATGAATGCATCAGTATCCTCTACTACAGAAACTGCTGATCTCAACAGAACTAACATTCATCCATTTCTGGAAATCCCCCTTCATATCCAATCCTTTGTATTTACACTGTTTTAAATGTGATTGAAATTTAATGGCTGAGTTGTGGTGAAGGTTTTATCAGACACATCAGTATCATTTATATTCAAGCATTAATAAAAAGGAAAACAAGTTTTCATTTGACACCTTTATTCGCAGTGACTCACAAGGGATCGCTAATGTAGGCTAAGGTTTAATTCTAGCAATGCTTCAGACACTATGTTTATTCCTTTGTTACTTTTGTGGTTGTTCTTTTCTGATTATTTCTCGTTTTGGCATTGATGTCTTGACATTCACATATTTATCTTCAAGCATCATCTTCAGCCTCCTCCTCAAATTCACCCTCCTCTTCAGCAGTGGCATCCTGGTACTGCTGGTACTCAGACACCAGGTCATTCATGTTGCTCTCTGCCTCAGTGAACTCCATCTCATCCATACCTTCACCTGTGTACCAATGCAAGAAGGCCTTACGGCGGAACATGGCTGTGAACTGCTCAGAGATGCGCTTGAACAGCTCCTGGATGGCTGTGCTGTTGCCGATGAAAGTGACGGCCATTTTGAGGCCACGGGGTGGAATGTCACAGACGGCGGTCTTCACATTGTTGGGGATCCATTCGACGAAGTAACTGCTGTTCTTGTTCTGGACGTTGAGCATCTGCTCGTCAACTTCCTTCATGGACATGCGGCCACGGAACACGGCAGCGACAGTGAGGTAGCGGCCGTGACGTGGGTCGCATGCAGCCATCATGTTCTTGGCATCGAACACCTGCTGGGTGAGCTCGGGTACTGTGAGGGCTCTGTACTGCTGGCTGCCTCTGCTGGTCAGGGGGGCGAAGCCAGGCATGAAGAAGTGCAAACGGGGGAAAGGCACCATGTTGACAGCCAGTTTGCGAAGATCAGCATTGAGCTGACCGGGGAAACGCAGGCAGGTGGTGACGCCGCTCATGGTTGCAGACACCAGGTGGTTCAGGTCTCCGTAGGTGGGTGTGGTCAGTTTCAGAGTACGGAAGCAGATGTCATACAGAGCCTCATTGTCAATACAGTAGGTTTCATCTGTGTTCTCTACAAGCTGGTGGACTGACAGGGTGGCATTGTAAGGCTCAACCACTGTGTCTGACACCTGAGGACAGAAAACACACACAATCTTTCTTCAGTCTCATGATCTGAGAGAACAAAACCTGAGGCAAGAGGAGCTAAATTTAAAACTCAAAACTCTTATGCTCTATCACAAGGGTACATTACCTTGGGGGAGGGCACCACACTGAAGGTGTTCATGATACGGTCGGGGTACTCTTCACGGATCTTGCTGATGAGCAGGGTTCCCATACCGGATCCAGTTCCACCACCAAGAGAGTGGGTGAGCTGGAAGCCCTGCAGGCAGTCGCAGCTCTCTGATTCTTTGCGGACCACATCCAGGACTGAGTCTACCAGCTCGGCTCCCTCTGTGTAGTGACCCTTGGCCCAGTTGTTTCCAGCACCGCTCTGACCTGGAGGGGAAAGACAGACATATGAGCCATCTTTATCCCTGCTCATAAAAGGCTGTAGTCATTCAGTATCATAAGAATTAGGCTGTATTTCACCCACCGAATACAAAATTGTCAGGTCTGAAGATCTGCCCAAAGGGTCCAGACCTCACAGAGTCCATGGTGCCAGGCTCCAAGTCCACGAGAATTGCTCGAGGCACATATTTACCTCCTCCGCGAGAAAGAGAAAAGACAAGGAGAGAGAAAACATACCAACTCCATAAAGCAGGAAACCACAGTCTTGGTTGTTACCCAGGATACATAATGTGGGAATATCCATGCATGACAGCAGACACGAGAAAGTAATAACATGGTACACTTCAGAATGAAATGGCACATATACCCTTTACAAATCAGTTTTTAGAAAGGCAACCTACCTGTGGCCTCATTGTAGTAGACGCTGATCCTGTCCAGCTGCAGGTCACTGTCTCCATGGTAAGTCCCTGTGGGATCGATGCCGTGTTCATCGCTGATCACTTCCCAGAACTGCAGACACAAAATGGAAGGTATCACATGACAGCTACTTGCAAAGAAAGTACACATCTATCCATTAGCAATGCGGTTTATGGGACTGGGGACTTTAAACGAGGAAAACAGCAGTGGGTTTGCATTTTTTGGGATTGTAATGAAGATGACAGGATTTTTTCCCCTTTCACCAAGCCACGTATTAACCCCTTTAATACAATGCAGCTGTTAATATTTCCATAGTCATCGACTGATGACATAGCAGAATGTAGCTCTTTCAGATGTAGAAGGCAAAGGAGGGAGCACAAAGGGGCTACAGATCACTCCGGGGGCAACACTGAAAATAAACTCCATTTGCTGGCGGTCACACTACACTGAAGACACTGATTGTCTTCAGATCTGTATTCATGTCTTGTTCACTCTTTAAAGACCCACACCCACAGTGTATATATGCATTAAATCCCACAAGCGAGTGGGATTGT